TATACTCATTTGAGTTATAAACTCATTTGAGTTTAACATAAAACTCATTTTCAGTGTGCTCAATATTAATTTGGGCGAGTTCATTTTTTTAGGCGTATACTCATTTGAGTTTAATATAAAACTCATTTCTAATGTGTTTAACATTTATTTGTGTTTGTTCATTTCTTTTAGACATTATACTCATTTTAAATTGGTTCAACTAGATTTATATTTGTCCAAAACAAGTAGGGTAGCTTTCTATTTCATTTGTCCAAACGAGTACTTCCCCTATTCATTGGTGGGCTCACAAGTTACTCCTGCAAGTGACGACGGCACCTCAGATCATCCGTCACCAAGGAAAGCTTACACATCAAAGTCCCTGCTTCTTCCATCCTGCTGGAACTCAAACGGCATCGATGAATTGCAGAGCGTGGTCTTGGTCGTCTTCTTCAGGAGCGTCGATGAATTGCAGAGCGCGGATCTTGGCCGTCTTCTTCAGGATCCACCCGTCTTTCCCTTCATCGATGAGTTGCAGAGCGCCGATTTAATTACAAAAATGTCGGCTGTACGGCGCTCACTGTACAGCCGGCTGTACGGTGACTGTACGGTGCTCACGTACAGCCGGCTGTACGGTATAATTTACGAGGGAAATATGGAGTATTTAGGATCAACGTTTTTTTTTGCACTCATGCCTTGTTTTGCACTATTGCTTCCACTCTCTCTGTCTTTCTCATTCTTTCCCTTTTCTTTTATATCCACAACTTTAAATTTATAATTAAAATTTGCTATCATGACTCACTAAGAGAATACGGAGTATCAAATTAGACAACAACATGATTAAAAATATTCCTGTCCCTCTTTTGTTGATTAATAATATGCAATACAAGAAAAATGTTTTTTTTTGCGACAAACAATTTGCGAGAAACACCAAATATGGTCGCAATATGTACATCGGTTTTATCTCAAAATCACTCATAAATATTGAATGTCTATTAAGTGGTCAAAAATGTCAAAGTGAATATTATATCTTTTCTAGACGAAATAGTTTATCGCTTGCTCTATTTGTAAAAAAATTAATATATGTATTATTTGTTTTGCATAGTAGTTTTTGTTTAGAATAAATTTTTCTAGTTTTTTTCTAGTCTACAATTTAAACAAATTTTATACGTCTTTCGGGTATTCTTTGAGTTTGATGTTTAAAGATTTTGTATAATACTCCGTAGTTGAGATATGTACGTTTTTCTAACAAATTTTTCTATAATAAATCAGAGTGCATAGATATGTTTATTAATTATAATTGTGATGTGTTGATTACGTGTGTATTGACAGTGGCGGAGCTAAAAGTCTATAGTTGTAGGGGTCGGTCCTTAAAAGTTTTACATTCCAGGGGCCAAAGTTTAAAATATTAACATATTTTCTATAGATTAAACGTATTTGTTTTTACATATTTGTTTAATTTGTTTAATTTGTTTTTACATATAGATTAACATATTTGTTTAATTTGTTTTTACTTCTCTAATAATATCACTGAATATTTTACTCACGGAGTAGAATATCACTGAATCTTTGTTGTTGTTTTACTCATTTTTAGCTCACAAACAACAATACAATTTCATTTCTAAATAAACATCTTAGGTCGAAATGAACAAAAAATTGTGAGTGATAAGTAGTACTCCGTATTTCATTAAATTAAAACAAATTGAGATAAATAAGAACAAAGCTAGGTTTCAAGAACTAAAGACAGTACATTTTTTGTGAAACGAATTTGAAACATACGGAGTAACTTTAAATTTTGCAAATTAAAAATATTTGATAGTTTTATATTTATGTTGTGTTTTCTGATATATGCAGGAGCCTATAGTTTGATTGTCCCACTCTAGCTGGAGGAGGATTATCAATCGTGAAGCACTTGGACATTTTTTACTACGGAGTATTTGTTGTTGAATTTAATAGTGATTTCCAACATTTTTTCCAACTATTTGTTACTTTGCCCTAATATAGATTGGAGAATGTAAATATATTTGTGCACATATCGTTTATTAATGTATAATGTTTCTTTATATCGCATCTCAATTTGACACGAGTACTATAAGAAGTAATTAATACGGAGTAACTAATATAATAGACTATTGTATTTACATAAAAAAAAATTTTTAAAAAAGTAATTGAAATTCAATTTTCGGTCAAAAAAGTTAACAGTTGACCATGAATTGCGGCGGTTATGGTTAGAGAACCGCTGTGTAGGTTTTCGATTTTCTACCAAAAATGGTGGCGGTTATCATTATTTGAACTGCTGCCCTCCTAAGCCATATGCGGCGATTATTTACCACACAACTGCCGCGCGTAAAAAATTCGCGACATAGTCATATGCGGCGGTTAGAACCGCCGTGCATGAGAGTTTAGAACCGCCGCGAAATGCATTTTTTCCACTAGTGATAATATACACACACAAACACACTTAAGAATTTTTTTTCTTGCAGGGGACGTGGCATCCTTCAACCCCTCCCGGTCTCCACCCATGTGTATTGAAATGAGTTTTATGCTATACGTACTTAAATGAGTATTATTTATAGAAGAAATGGGCATAATAGGTATGATATTGTAAAATGAGAACAACACAGACTTTAGATGAGCACACACCAACGAATATATTTAAATGAATAAGTTGGTCTGTAACGAATACATATTTGTATCATTTAAATGAATAAGTTGGTTTCTAATGAATATATATATATATATATATATCATTTAAAGAAATGAGTTTTAAATGAATATAAGGTTTAAAAGAAATGAGCATTGATATGACACCAATGTAAGGATGTTGAATTTTTAATTGGGCTTATTTCAATCTTATTCTAGACTATACCAGATAAGATCAAACCAGACGTTAAGAGACTAGACCATACTCCGACAGTTGTAAAATACACAAAGACTAAACACCTATCAAACTATTGCAAACCAGACCAGACTTAAAAGATCAGATCATACCATATTAGAAAATTTCAGTACAAGTAAAAACATCCTAAATGAGAATTGAATTAAAACATTCAAATGTGTAAGCACAAATTATGAGCATATTGTTTAAAAGAAATGTCCATTGATGTAATATTATAAAATAAACACAATTGAATTGATATAACTATAAATTATCTTTCTTAATATTTGTCATTGAAAAAAGGGATTATATTTGAGTAAATAAATCTTATTATATTAAAGTTTCATTCAAAGAATACATATTATATTTATGAATTCCTGAAACGAGTGTATGTTATATTCCAATTAATGAGTATAATATTTACAATGAATGTGCATGATATAGCATTTTAAAACAAGTATTATATATGTGGGCTATTGAATTGAATTTTTGTTATACTAAAATGAGTAAAATGATATAAATAAATGTGGATTAGTGTACAATAAATATGTTACATGTGTGGATTATATAAGTGAATTTTATGCTATACATAAATGAGCATAACATTTAAAATAAATGATAAATGAGCATTACTATTATATATTATAAAACAAGCACAATAAATACGTACTTTAGGTGAACATACAATAATGAATAAGTTCGTTTATAATGAATATATTACATGTATGAGTTTTACGTTATAGTGAAATGAGTATTGGGTTTAATGGAGTTGTGCATTGACATGATATTATAATGAGCATAACATAGATTTAAAAGAGCATATATTGCATTCATGAATTGTTGAAATGAGTTTTATGTTATACCCAAATGAGTATAATATTTACAGTGAATTTTCATTGGATAAGTGTTTTAAAATGAGCACTATTACGTGTAGATTATTTAAAATTTGAAATGCATTTTGTGTTATACTAAAATAAATATAATGTTTAAAATAAATGTGCATTGATGTTACATTATGAAATTAGCAAAATAAAGTTGAAAGTATAGAATAATAAATTATAAGGTATCTCTTATTGTATGCGTTTGTTACATTTATCATGGATAAATCTACTGGTAATTAATTAAATGTAGCTAACTATATTTAATTAGTTTGGAGTAAATATATCACAAGTGTGGGTTCTAAAATAAGTTTTACCTTATACATATTGACATACACGTTTTATAGAAATACGTTCTATGTTATACATGTATGAGTATGACGAACAAAAGAAATCAACATTGACATGATATTGTCAGATGAGCACAACAAGATTTTAAATGAACATATTATAGTAAGTATAGTTAAATGAATTTTAATTTATATTACTTGTATAATTTATAAAATGAGTTTATGCTACCTCACTGGGATGGATGTAGTATGTTGTGGTTTCTTTTGATTAAAAAAACACTTTTCATCTATGTGAACTGATAACAAAAGATGAAATGTGGACTTTTCTAGCACATACCTAGACACAATATGAGATAGACATACTTATAACCTTTTCACTTTTCTTGACTTGATGGCATTCAAATGCTGATAGATAGCTAATACGGGGATATCATTAGCGGTATGTAGAGAGAAGACAGAGCTATTGAGTATGAGAGAGAGCAATCGTATTAATGAATATTTGAGCCATTACGACTGTCCAAGGGGATGCTATTTATACTAGTCATAAATGCTAAGTGCATTAAGTACACGTACACATGTAAACTAGTCTATGGCGAAGAGCACCCCTGTGGCGTGGAGGCGGGCACATGGCACAACATTAACTACGGTGGGGGGTGGGGGTGGGGGATAGTTTAGGGAAATCAACAACATTTTCATTTTGGCATAAAAATGTGTGAGAGTCAAATCAGGAATTTTTTTATGGGACAAAGGGAGTATAAGTTGTTGAAATAAGTTTTATGTTATATGAAATGAGGTTTAATGCACCAAACCTCTCATGAAATATAAATTCAGTGTATTAACCCCATGTGAACTAAAAAATGTGTCAAACTCCCTTATGTAATTATGTTATAATTATTCATGGTATAATACTAGTATTTGTTAGGGATAGTGGATATCGGCCTATTAACGGATCATGTAGTGATCAAAGGAAAGCCCACGATAACAATCTGATTGGGCTGTTGGGGTGTTTTAATCAGTCAAGCCCACATTTCCTCCTCACCGGGACAGGCCGGACAGCTTCTTCTCCCAGCACCACCGTCATCTAGACGGCGATGCCTGCTGATCCGACGATAATCAGTTGCAACTGTCGGTATGGCTTGGAGAAGCCTCGAGCTATGGAGACGCAATGAAATTATGTTGGGAACTGTGTTGAATGCGTTTCGGTTCTACAGAACGAACCCTAAGGTGGTAGACTTGAGGAAGCTTAGGCCGATGATTCTTAAGAGGATTGAGAACAGAGCGAAGGATTATCCGGTGAAAGGAATGATCCCTGTGGCGGAGGAGGTCCTCAAGTCCAGAGCTCTGCTCTACCGTGGAGTATCCACCCTCCTCCAACATATCCCGGTGTGGGCGTGCAAGTAATTCACGCATCTCTTTTTCTCTTACAGCTTCCTATGATTTTTTGTGCATATGCTTGGAGAATTTCAATATTTTTTCTCTCAACTAAAAAAGTAATTGAGAATTTTGATCTCAATGTCACGGGGAACTTGAAACCATAATCGCCAACGGGAAAACATTTGTAATAAAGGTTTCCTAAAAGTTTTTGAAACGCGGAAATGCACCCCTCAAAGCTGCAGGCATTACAGGTTTTTATTGAAGCTTGGATGAGCAACACTTCTGAAGTTAGGAGTTGGTATTTTATGCTCAATCCCAAAAAATTACCAATATTTCAGCAAATAGTCAGACTTAGGGAATAGGAACTTACCAGTGAATCGATCAAGTGAATGTCAGACTTAAGGAAAACTTCTTTGGTTTAGAGAGTGGTTGGATAAAATCCAAGATTAACTTAGGGAATAGGAACTTACCAGGGAATCGATCAAGTGAATGTCAGACTTAATGATGTTTAATTGTTATTGAGAGAACTCTAAAGCTAATGCAGCAATATCTAGTTCAAGGAAAAAGCAGAGTATTAAAATCAATAAAACGAAGACTATAAAGCCTCAAGGTGAGCAGATTAAGCTAAATCTAAATTTACCCTTGTAATATGAAAACCTGAATCCAAGTATGAAATCCACACTCCACATTACTTTCCCAGTTTCCACGCGTTACCCGAGTAGTCTCCGTTTACTTAAACCAAACACCCCTTAGGGTAATGAGTGATTCAAATAATAAGCTTGTGACATGAAAAAGCCTGGTAGTGGTGTATGAAGTATGAAGTAACTGAATAATGCAGAGAACATAATTTCTTTATCTTTCTTAGAATCAGAGAGTATGACTGCTACTGTTTTCTCAGTGCATTTTCCTCTAGCTGAACTACTGGAGTACATGATATGTTCCATTTCATCTTAGTGAAGGGAATAACATGAAAACAAGAAGTTGTCATTCAAGAAAAAGATTGTGCTGCAAGGAGAGAGCAATATCACGACTTGAAAATGCTTCAAAAGTATAAACTCTGTCAATTTAATGAATGAAGACCAAAATTGCTACAATCATCATTTACCCCAGTGCCGCACAGGCTCCCACCTATGGTGGGGTAGGGGGGGTCGGATGTACGCAGTCTTACCCCTGTACTAAAGCACAGAGAGACTGTTTCCGTATGACCCATAATGAAAATCACGTCCAAAAATTGCATTGGCTGACTGCTGCTTCATAACAAAGAAGCGCAGACAGTTTGGTGAGCCATTTTGCTTTATTCCATCATATTCTCAAGCCAAAAAATAATGAATCTTTGGCTCCATTGCAAATGATGGAAAAGAAGACCAAAATTGCTACAGAAAGGAAAAAAAGAATTTCCAAGGATAGTCATGGTTTTATGTTTTCTTTTCATCTGGAAAAGTTATGAAAATGAAATGTGATAATTTGTTGAACAGTTTATTCATGTTTACATATATTCTGATCTTGTAGTCATTATATAATAGATGCAAAAAAGTAAACTGAGTGTCAACAAATATCTAAAATAAGTCTATTGAGTTGTAACTGATGTTTTATTTTAACACACTTTTTCTTTCCTTCCCATTTTGCTCTATGTTTTTCTTACTTTTTTATCTCTTAAGTATATCCCGGGAACAGACAGACTCTTATTTATGGTGTGATTGAATTTGTTTCACTGCAGGTACTGTCCAGAGGTGTATGTAGGAGAAAGCGGACATTTAATTCGAACATGTGGTGGATATAGGAGGGGGTCAAAGACCCAGCTTCATGTTTGGATCAAAGGAACTTTAGAGAACATCCTACTCCCCGTACAAACATATCATCTGCAGAACATGTTTCAGAACATCATCAAACACCATGAAAGATTTGATCACGACCGGATTCCTGCCGTTGTGGAATTGTGCTTACAAGCCGGTGCTAATCTAGGTGACAAAAGCACAATCACAAGAGAGAGGGAACTGGAAAGCGATTTGATAACTGAACCTTCATTTGATCAGGAAATGATGTCGATAGGGATAGAGACTTTAAAAGCTTGGGAAAGGGTCAGGTCCGGTGTAGTTAAGCTTCTGTTGGTTTATCCCACGAAGGTGTGCAAACACTGTTCGGAAGTTCACGTGGGACCCTCCGGACATAAGGCTCGGCTTTGTGGGGTATTTAAGTATGAAAGTTGGCGGCGAGGGCATTTTTGGGAGAAGGCAGGTGTGGACGATTTGGTTCCTCAGAATGTAGTCTGGTTCAGACGGCCTCAAGATCCTCCATTGCTACTTGATGAGGGTCGAAACTACTATGGCCATGCCCCTGCCGTTGTAGATCTATGCACCAAGGCAGGGGCCATTGCCCCATCCAAATATCATTGCATGATGAAAATTGATGGGTTGTCAGCGCCAGTTTCGGTCACAACTCGATGACATCATCATATGTATAAGACTATAAGAGTATAAACAAGAGAGCACTATTTTCCTGGAGTCCTGAATAGAAGAATGTCATCTACCTTCACCAGGTTTGTTGTGGTTCTGTTAGGGTGTATTTGGATTTTGGACCAGGGAAAATGGTAGAGAAATGAAAACAAATGTTAACGGAAGTTATTTTCATATGTTTGAATTAACGTGAACACACCTATATTCACTCTCCATATTACATGTTGCACGTTATGTAAATATCCAACAAGAACACGCAGTCCTACTCTATATAGTAAAGACAACAAGCGCTTATTTAGCCAGACTGCCAGAGACCCATGTACTATGACTAACAAAGCTAATGAAGAAACATGATGGTTTCTATAATTAAGAAGCTGTGTTTAGCGGGACTGTACATAAATATAAGATTCAGTTATTGAATACAAATTGCTGCTAAGTGATAACCAATGTTCTAAAAGGCGCTAGGCGCTAGTCGGGCTCCAACCCAGCGCCTAGCGCCTAGGCGGCTAGGCGGGTGCCTAGTCGGGGATTAGTCGGAGACAAAGAAATTGCATTTTTATCTATATTTTTGCATAAATATGATAAGTAATATTATATTTTTGTGTGTACAAAATACATATATACATATATACTAACAAACATGAATTATAGAATTATCAGATTTAATCATACGTAGCATATGATAAATAATCACTAATTAACTTCATTATGTTATAAATATAAATAATGATGAAATTTAGGTATATATAGAAACATATATAGTTTTATCTTTATTTACAACTCATTTTCTTTATATCCATGGCTAAAGTTAAAGTACGTATATCACTTAGAAAACTAAAATTAAAAAGTAAAGTAATGTTTGGTGAATTTAGACGGCCTAGGCGGCCGATTAGGCGCTCTAGGCGCGCAACTAGGCGGCATAGGCGGCCGACTAATTCACCTAGACGGTAAATCAATTAGTCGGAGCGCCTAGATGAAAATCGGGGCGCTCGACCACCGCCTAGCGCCTAGGCGGGGACTAGTCGGACGCCTAGAACGATTTTTAGAACAGAGGTGATAACCAACGATGTTCACAATGTTTTAGAGATTATCTTTTTGGTTTATGAGTTAATGTAGCCGCCAACATCAGTGCTCAAGGATTTAAGGTGTTCTTGTTGATCAACAAGGTAATGAACTGGGGAAAAGCTGGCAATAAAAGGGTTAGTGTTTACGCATGTTTTAATTTTTGAAACATTGTAATGCTTTTAATATATACTACGTTAAGATAAGAATCTTCTTTTGTTGTGACTGTTCATTATAAATAGGTATTTATTCATTCCTTATGTATAACTAATTTGCACTTTCTTCTTAATACCACTGGAAAATAAAAGTAGAACCTGTAGTGCTATATATAGCTCTATCAGTCATCTTTTAATTTTGAAATATGAAACATGAATTTAATCCTAAAATTTGACTGCATTTGTACCAAAAAAAGAGAGCCATGTTTCAAAACATTTTTGGTAAAAAAGGAAGCCAGTTTTTAGACCTGTCTGTGTGGTTTCCGGCTAAATTGGAACCACCGGTTTTTGAACTGGAACCCGAACCACTCCATTTTTGTGATTTAGAAGAGGAGGTTTGCTAGTCCGGTTTGGTTGTTCAAAAGTTGTAGTAATAATACTAATTGTACTAATAATAGAAATGAGAATGATACTAGTTACTTGTTACCACTCATTTGTGATTACTTCAGTTTATTTTTTTTAAATTATTGGTAATATGTATATGTAGTTTAATAATAACTAAATTATTTTAATGCAATTTTTTTAATAATATACTAGCTTGTAGATTTTTACAATGCAATTTATAACTACTTAGCTATTAACTACTACATATGTTATTATTGTACTTGGTTATACAAATGATTTAGTTCTTCTAATTCTTTTCGGAACCCTTCAGTTAATTTATTTTTAAAAAATCAACTAAAATTTGACATCTAAAAAATAAAAAATTAGGAACTGGAAAACCGAACCAGATGGATTGGATCTAAAAACGCTTGTTTTGGAACCGGTAATGTGCGGTTCCAGTTCTGGTTCCTCAAAATTTGAAACTGCCAATCGGCAGTTCCGATTCAGAATCGAGGATACTCCTCACTTTTTCATCAAACAAAACTAGTTTTGTCCCTTATTGTCAAATAAGTATATGAACACCGCCTTTTAACCAAGTTTACACGCAGAAACAACCCGTCTGGACGGTCTTGCTGCATTGGAATTGGCTCATTCTGTTGAAATTTATAAATTTCTGGTTAAAGTGACTATATTGGCTAATTCTGCCGAATTATGAATCTTTTTGGCTTAAAACATATTCTATTATTAAAATAAAGAAGAAATCATATGAAAATAGCTAAAATGGTCTTCTATAAAAACTTTAGCTAATCTAGCCAAAAAATAACGTTAACCTTACTTATTTTGATTATTACACAACTCAACGCGAAATCAAAAGTTACGTGTTTGATAAAAAAGTAAAGTTACGTGTTCGGGGAAAAAGTTGGCTAATAAAAATCACAAGTCGAAAAACATGGTTACCAAATGAGCTCAAAAATATGACTCTTGTTCTCACAGATGTCTCTGTGTTTCTACTTGTCTCATTTCTATGTTTGTCTACCCAAACATAAGGTGATATTGTGCAAAAGTTTAGTTAAACCAATAAATAAAACTAGAGTTTACTAAATTGTAGATGACAAACAAATTGCATATTCGTTTTTGTTTTCAAGTAAAGCTGACAAACAAATTGAAGTTGATAAGTTTAGTTAAACCAATAAATAAAACTAGAGTTTATGACTTTTAATTGGGTCCTGCCCTTGCCTACATATAATCATTTTTTTACTCAACAAAACGTATTTAGGATTTTTCTTGATCCAAAAGACAGGAAAACCAGGATACTTGCATTTGGAAATCTCCAAGTCATGTGCAAGAAAACAACGAAGCTAATGAAAACACAGCAACGACAACACAATGTCTGCATCAACCGCATAACTAAATTACTTAAACCAACTAAAGGTAGTCCAAAAGTTACTGTTGCATGTCCAACCTTAAAGAAAGTTTGAAACAGGGAGAAAACAAGGGCCATGACATGAGGTTATCCAAACCCATCTGCCTGATCTACCAGCGACGTGAAGTGCTCGCATTGCCATAGCCACCGCTTTCCAAGCCGAGAAAATCCAGAGTGGACGGGCAGTTGCCACCAAAGATCATTGCAGGAGATGACTGGTCCATCTGGGGATACTCCTGGAAACCACTTGGTGGAACAATAATCGCTTCATTCTCAGCGTTTAGTGAACGACCAGCCAATCCACGAATATATGAACCACCACTACCATCACCACCGGAAGAGGAAGAGTAAGTTATGGTTGAGCCTACTTGTGCGGCTCGCTGAAGAACTGCAGTTGCGGATAGGTCAGGCGACAACAGCGGAGGACTTGCGGCAGCCATGTACTGGAATGGCGATGATGCATGGCCAAAGAGGCGAGAAGGATAAACATAAGATGAGCTCGGCTGGCTTCGCATGACACCAACAGGTGAAGTCACAGTTTGTGTTTGTCCTGAAAATTGTACGCCACCGATAATGGCCGTGGTGGCTGCGGGCCAATGTTAGTGGCTTTACTAGACTTAAACATATCATATCAAACTAAACATAAAGAGATTAAACATTTTTAGAAAACAATACTACCTCCGTAACATTGGGATGTTCCCATTTGAAAAGTAGGCAGATTAAGAATAGTGAAATGAGATATGTATTATTAGGGGTATGATGGGAAGATAGTGAAATAATGTGATGGAATGAAGGATAAATCCAAAAAAAGTAGGTGTAATAGTGTATTATTTTTAAAATTATTGAGGGTATGATGGGAAGATTTAGAAATGAGAAGATATTAGTGTTACGTCCAAAAAAGGAAAGTGGGAAGATATTTACGTTACGGAGGTAGTAAATATTAAGACTATTACTATATCTACCAGAATCTGACAACTATAATAATACTAGAATTCAATTATATTCATAATATCACATTGTGTAGCGAATACTGAACATACATTCAATCATGTTTTGCATAATGTAAGTTTTTTTCCGTTACAAACTTTAATCGTTCAAGCACATTTAAATTATGGAAGTATGTTACTGGTATATATTTCGGTCCATAATAAATCCAAAAAATCTTGTTGTACCTGTTATTTTTTTTTATTCTTGTTGTACCTGTTTACACACTTGTACATGCTATCTGTGAAACCTTTTTTGTGCATCACAGATTCACAGACAACGTGTTTAGGGCAAAATTGTTATTTTTATAAAGGGGCAAATAAAGTACAAGGAAGCACATAAGACCTAAATCACATCAACCACGTGAAATCATGGGGTGCTTAGTGCTTGTTTATTGAATGTAGAGTGTCTAAATGAGTTAATTATTATTAGTAAATTATCCACCATAGAAACAAAACATGAACATATGTAAAGTTAAAGAATATGACCATTTTTTGGATTTCAAAATACAATATGAATTCCTTTCAAAAAAAAAAATACCCTATGAATTTGATGAAGTGGTTGTAGCATCAACAATTTTGACAAAGATCTGTGCGAAGTCCGTGTAAAGTCTATGCCAAGTGTGTGCCATTTTTTTTGTAGTGGTTGTAGCATCAACAATTATACTCCCTCCGTCCCGAAAACAACTTCTCACTTTCCTTAAATGGATGTCCCAAAATTAACTTCACACTTCAATACTTTCCTTATTTGGTAAATTATTTACATCAAAAAAGTGATAAACAGTGCCAAACAGTGTTTAAACAGTGCCAAACAGTGCATTCTACAGTAAAGTCAAATTTATTTCCTAAAAGTGTGTGAAAGTCCAACCGGGAAGTTGTTTTCGGGACGGAGGGAGTAATATACTTTCTCCGTCCCACAAAACATGACTAACTTTGACTAGCATATGGAAAAATTAAATAAAACCATTTGGTTGAGATTTAATTTGTAGTAAGATTTTTTTTTTGGGTCGGCTAAATAAGGAAATTTGAAAAAAAAAACATGGACAAAGGGTGTAATATTCCACAATGTTCTAAAAGGAGTCAAGCGCTAGTCGGGCGCTAGCCCAGCGCCTAGCGTCTAGGCGGCTAGGCGGGTGCCCAGTCGGGGACTAGTCGGAACATAGAAATTGCATTTTTATCTATATTTTGTCAACCAATCTGTTAAATTATTATTATTACTTTATTTGATGTTAATCAAAGAATCTGTTAAATGAGTATTATTACTTTATTTGAAAGTATGTAGTTTTGGGAAGTTATTATTAGGTATTAAGTGCAGGATATCTTGCATTAATTGCAAGGATATCCTAAAAAAAGGATGACACCCCATCCCTGAGGGCCCCCCAACACCGACCGGACAGCACGATGAGAGGATGTAAATTGGACTATAATCACAATCTGACAGATAGAGAGTGGGGCTCTGTCCCCGGTACTTGCAGAAGCCCTATATATGCATTTTTCAGCATAGTAACCCCTCATCGCAGTTGCCGGGATTCGAACCCGAGACCTAACCCTTGTGGCACTCCCTCGCTACCAGTTGAGCTACGCCCACCGGTAATTGCAAGGATATCCTGATTTGTTTCCTTGTAACTGTATTTATTTCTTGCCTATATAAGTGTGAATATACAGCTGAGGAAGGCATCTCAGTTCTTTCAGCAATTCTAGTTCTTAGTTCTTCCCAGTTTTATTATCTTTTGGTAATATTTGTGACATGGTATCAGAGCCTTAAGCCCTGTTCTTCGCGTTCCTGCTCAAAACCCTAAATTTCCCTAGGGTTTTCTCTCAGATTTTCGTCACCTCAGTTGTAGCCATTTTTTTTGTCTCAAATCTATTCATTTCCTTATTCATTTCCTTATAAGATCTGGGCGTTTTAGCCGCAGAACCAGTGCTTATCTTCTGGGAAGTAAACATTCTGGTGTTTTTTTATCACTTTCTAGTCATCATGGATAAATTGGAAACCTTGTGTGCTCGATTTGATGGCAAGAATTATGTTACTTGGGCATTCCAAGTTGAAACATTCCTGAAAGGAAAGGATTTGTGGGCGCATGTGGATGACTCTTTGACAGAAACCTCCGCTTCTGAGGATGTTACCTGGGTTGTGAAAGATGCCCAAATTCGTAGTTGGATATTAGGGTCAGTGGATCCTCAAATTGTCCTCAACTTGCGTCCTCATCGCACAGCTCGAGCCATGTGGGCTTATCTACAACAAGTTTATCATCAGGATAACTCTGCTCATCAATTTCAGTTGGAGTTGGATATTTCGAATTTCCAACAAGGCTCCCTCACTGTTCAACAATACTATTCCAACTTCTTTACACTTTGGTCTGAATACATCGACCTATCCCTTGCTGAAGTGCCAAATACTGCTGTGGAGTCTCTTCGGGATATGTTACAAACCCGTCACCGCAATCAATTCTTTATGAAATTGCGTCCTGAGTTTGAACACATTCGCTCCTCACTATTGGGCAGAAATCTGGGAACCTGGAGGATTTCTTTCGGGAACTTCTGCGTGAAGAGCAGCGTCTGCATACCCAGGCTACCTTGGAGCAGGGCCAGTCTTCAGTTGCTTATTCCAATCAACCTAAGCCTCATTCTAGAAACATGAGTACCACACAGTGTTATTCCGGTAAGAATTACGGTCACATCGCACAAAACTATCCTAATAAGGTTTGTAGCTACTGCAAGAAGCCCGACCACATCATCAAAGATTGCTTCATTCGCCCACCTCGTCAAAAAAATACTGCGTATCAGGTTACCACAGAAGATTTGGCCACTTCTCCAAATGTTTCAAATGATCCAGCCCCTGCTTCTGCCACTGCTCTTACACCTAAAATGGTACAACAGATAATAGTTTCTGCTTTCTCTGCATTGGGGATTCAAGGTAATCCTTTACCCTATTCTAATTGGTTTCTAGATTCTGGAGCCTCAAATCACGTAACTTCTTCGATACATGGACTCACTAATATTCGCTAATATGATGGTTCTTCATCTATTGAAACTGCCAGCGGTAATAAGCTGCTTATTACTGCCATCAGTGATATTTCTCCTCAGGTTAAAGATGTATTTGTTTGTCCTCAATTATCTACAAGTCTTGTTTATGTTGGTCAACTTATTGATGATAAATGTGATGTGAAATTCTCTTCCAATGGATGTCATGTGCAGGATCAGGTGTCAGGGGAGTTGATAGCGAAGGGGCCTAGGATTGGACGTCTCTTTCCATTACATTTTCCTAAATATGATTCAGTTTCTGCTTTTGCATGTAATAAAAACTCGGGATCAGTGTGACATATGAGACTTGGCCACCCGAAACCTCAAGTTCTTTCTCATTTGTAACAACTTGGTCTTTTAGATAATAATAAAGAGAAAATTTCTTCTGATTTTGATAGTGAATCCTGCAAACTAGGCAAAAGCAAAGTTCTTCCTTTTCCATCTAATGGTAGTCGTGCTTCCCATTGTTTTGAGATCATTCATAGTGATGTTTGGGGAATCTCTCCTGTTGTGTCTCATTCCCATAACAAATACTTCGTTACCTTTATTGATGATTATAGTCGCTATACTTTGGTATATGTTCTACGATCAAAGGTTGATGTTTTCAAAACATTTCAAAATTTTCTTGCCTTTGTAGAAAATCAATTTTCCACGGGCATCAAAGTTCTTTGTACTGATTCTGGTGGGGAGTATATATCTCATGAATTTCAAGCATTTCTTGAATCTAAAGGAATTATATCTCAAAGAACATGTCCTTATACTCCTCAACAAAATGGTGTCGCGGAACGCAAAAATTGTCATCTTCTTGATATTGTCCGGACCATACTTTTAGAATCCAAAGTTCCTACTCGTTTTTGGGTTGAAGCTTTGTCTACAACAGTTTACCTAATAAACAGACTCCCATCATAGGTCTTGGGGTATGAATCACCTTATTTCCGGCTACATAAATGTCATCCAACATACATTAATCTCCATCCTTTTGGTTGTGTGTGTTTTGTTCATCTTCCACCCTCAGAACGCCATAAACTCTCTGCCCAATCTGCCCGATGTGTATTTCTAGGATACAATGTCAGTCAAAAGGGATTCGCGTGTTTTGATCCAATAGCAAACAGATTACGAGTCTCTAGAAATGTTATATTCTTTGAAAATCAGTATTTCTATCATAGTCGTGTTCCCAATAATCCATCTTTTGTCATATTACCTGAATTTGAAAGCGTTTCCAGTCCTCCTCCTCTCAGCACCCGATTCAAAGGCATAATGTATGAAAGACGTCGTCCACCTGCGTCTTTATCAACTTCTCCGCTGCCATCAGATCATATGCCAGATCTTTCTCTTGAGAATATGAGCAATGTGGAGATTCCTCTTCGTCGTTCTACACGACGTTTAGTACCACCGAATCGGTATGGCTTCTCATCCTCTTCTCTTTCCCTTGCTGCCACCATTGCATCCGTTGTTATTCCTTCTTGTTATACACAGGCTGCCAAACATAAGTGCTGACAGGAAGCAATGCAGGAAGAATTAAGAGCATTGGAACTTAATCATACATGGGATGTTGTCTCATGTCCTCCTAATAGCATCCCTTCATGGTGATCTCAAAGAAGATATCTTTACGTGCACCTCAGGGTCTTTTCTCTGGTCCCACACAAAGGTTTGTAAATTACATCGTTCTTTATATGGCTTGAAATAGGCTCCCCGTGCTTGGTATGAAAAATTCCGTGCCACACTTCAACAGTTCTTGTTTCAGCCAAGCAAGCATGATACTTCCATGTTTCTCCGACATACCTCAGACGGGATTGTAGTCCTTCTTGTCTATGTAGATGATATTGTTATCACTGGAACAGATCAATCCCTTATTCCCAAGCTCAAACAACACCTACATAGTTCTTTTCATATGAAGGATCTTGGGGGGCTTTCATATTTTCTAGGACTCGAGGTTACTGTGGGTTCCACTGGTATTTTTTTTAAATCAATCCAAGTATGCCCGTGATCTTATTGATTCTGCAGGTCTTAGTGGCACATCTCCAGTTGATACTCCAATGGAGTTAAACATTAAACTTCGAAAAGATGAGGGAGATCTTCTTCCAGACCCGACAGTGTATCGTAA